AACGCTTTCAACAGGACAAGAATGGGCGAGAAGTCGGGAGTTGAGTGTATTTGGCGACGTGGAGATGCGGCTGTTTTTTGGAGTTGGGGTTTCTCGCCCGCGGGCGCGGGCAGTCCATTTTTCCGTCTCCCCCTCTTTTTCCGATTGTTCTTATCGCGAGGAGGTGCCTCCTTTTCCAGCAGCATAAAGTTAACGCGCACAACGCTCCTTTACCCCGGGTTTGTGCGCGGTCCCTCGAGTCGGTGCGCAGGGCGTTCGTGGCAAGACCGTTACCCGAAGTGCGGTGTGGCCAAGCCCTGCCCTGCTCTGCCCAGCCCAGACAGGAGTGGCGCGTGCAGAGGAACTGCACGTGGGTCTTTGGAAGGCAACGCGATTCCCACGAGCTTGATTCTGGGGGTTGCAGGAACAGAGGGAAAGCTCGAGCCCTTTTATCTGTAAATGCCTTGGCTTCCGTTCGCACAGAAGAATGGATGAATATGCGACAGCAATCATAAGTAAAATACTTTATCGGTTGCATTTGTACCCCACCTTTCCTCCTTCCTTCCCTCAACCCTGCAGCTGTTACATTCATGCACCCGTTTCCTCCGCGATCTGAGTGCGTTGTTGATTTGCCTTCTCTCATTTTATCCTCACAACAACCCTGTGAGGTAGGTTAGGATAGTAAGTAGGGACTATTTGCTGGGCCACCCTTTTGGGGATGTTGTTTCTCCTCCCATCACTGGTCTTTTTAAGAAAGTTCTGGCCAAAGGTTGAAGGCACAAATTTACACTTAGAGCCACTGCAGGAAATGTCATGCAGTGCAACATGGAAATGGAAGATAGTGCATTTGATCAAAGCAGGGAATTAAGGTGTGGGAGATACAGAGGTGCATAGAGGCCTAATCGGGAGATGTGGGACTCTCCAAATGTTGGGGAGTAATTGTCATTGGTGCAACCGTTCAACTAGGATTTGTGGCTGCTTGTTTCAGACATTGTAACACAGTGCCTCTGAGCATATGTAGTAGCCTATTCCCCTGCCACCCTGCTTCAAGAGATGCTGTACAAAGCTTTGCCAAGGTTGCTGAATGACCTGAGGGCGAAGTGCTACTGAATATTTGCAGGGAATCTTCTTCACACCCCGGGCCAAAAGCAACCAGGGAACAAAGTGCTTTGAAGTTGTGCTCAAAGTTCTCCTGTTCACAGGCTTCCATGTTTTCGGATAGAAAGTAAATATAAAAAATGCAACCTTTTCTCTGGCTTTACATCCGTGTTTCTTATCCATCCAGTCCTGTGAAAAACATTCTTCACCCACAAAATGTGTTAGGTAAAAAGCTGCAGGTAAATTGCGATTCATGAGAAGCAGAGATTTGAGACAGTGCCTGAATTTGTCCCAACTGCTGGTAGTCATGTCCAAGTGTGAAAGATCCCTGTGGTTACCAAGGCAGGGAAAGATGTTTGCCATGGTAAATTTCTTTGTGGATTAAGGTGTGGTGCATATAGAACAAGTATGGAAACAGCTTAGACATGGGCAATCTTTTAGTGGCTGGAGGCTGCATTTTTGGGAGGGAGAAAGCTATACTACAGTGAGTTAAGTAACAAGGCAGAGTAAGTGAGGAAATGTCACATCATATGGGCCAGATTTTCTGGGTCTTTCCCCTGGGTTTGGAAAAATAGTTTGGGTTCTTTGATTAAGCCTGTTTTACGGATTATGCTGCTGCTTTCAGGTATGTCCTGCCTCCAAATTTTGGAAACCCATGCTGCCGATGATCTGCTGTTGGAATCAGAATGCAAAAGAAGGAACTCAGAAGCTGCCTTGCAGAAGGACGGCCTTGTTAGTTGATGGTGGCAAAAAATCTGAAGGAATCTGGTCGCATATTTTCCAGTTTTTTTTATTAAAAGGCGTAAGCTTTTAAATAAATTGTGTTAGTTGGAAAGGGGGCTACCAGGATGCTTTTGAGTTTCTGAAGGCTACCTGTGGCTCTAAGAGCTCATGTTTTCAACCCCAGGCTTAATTCAAACATGTACTTTATTTTCTGGTATCTGTTCTGTTTCTTAGGCTTTGGTATTTTGGAAACTTTCTCTGCAACTGAATTATTGCTGTATGTGCACGCCCAAAAATCCTTTGTTCACAAGCATCTCAGGTGACCAGGAGCCTGGACATGTACAAACTGATTCTACTTGTATGTCTTTCGTTTGCTTTGGCTGCAACTAACTGGGAAAAAAAAGTATCCTGTAAGGTTTGAAAGTACGCAGCATTTTCAAAACACCATTGATGCAGTCAGAGCCAATACAGGCAAAGGAAAACATAAGGATTACTGTGTTGGATCAGCCCCAACTCTGTCAAAGTTGCTGCTTCTGCCCGCAACAGTGAACAGCTCTAGAGGCTGTGCAAAATGTTTAGTTAAGAGATGTATCACAGGATCCTTGTCAACATGCAAAGGTCAGGATGTATGGTATAAAAGCCACTTTAAATTTCTTCACAATGCATGGTTTGTATGCCCCGTTCAGATCGGTTTGTTTGCTGCGTGCAATCCGGTTTTTTTTGTTTTTTGTTTATCATGCCTTGTCTAAAAGGTGAGATGGAGCCCTCAATGTGGTTGTAGCCATGACCTGGATCAGTGTATAACATCTTGCTCATCGTAAGTACCAATCCTCAGTCCTAAATTTAGGAAGGCTGTCATCTCTTGAGTGAAATCAGTTATATCTGGGGAATTCATGTTCTCAAATGCCTATTAAATGACATAATCTACTCTATAGACCAGTGCTTCTCAATCTTGGCAGCTTTCAGATGGATGGACTCCAACTCCCAGAATTCCCCCCCCCCCCGCCCCCGTCGGGGGGGGTAGGTGGGGGGGTGGTCTCCCACCCCATCATCTACCAACATAGATAAGCAGA